ACGATGACTAAGAGCGCCGATCTATCGGGCTTCCTGAGAATATAGGATCTTGTCAATTTAGGTGGGCAATGTTGCCGCACCTGTTGCACTGATGAAGGACCGACGTTGATGGAAGATGTGATACTGCTATCTGTTGTAGGTAATATGCAACATGATGCTAGCGGTGTGGTCTCTGCTTTATCACTACCCCCGAAGAGATCGCTTGCTGTCGACTAGACTTGCACAAGTATACAGTGCAGTAGTATTTAGTTAAAATCATAGTTGTTTTATATTTGAATAATAAGAACAAACTTCTTATATTTGAATAATAAGAACAAACTGGTCGTATCAGAGACGCTACCGTCAAGGTATCTAGTAATGCCTCTTTAAATGATAGAATTATTTACATCCATGGACCTATAATTCAGTACAGCCTTGGAGCAAGTCTAGGCGACGATAGGCAAGAGACTGTTCTTTGAACCTCCGCTATTGGAGATTTTCAGTCTTATTGTGAGTTTTGTTCAGCGGTTCAGTCCATGTTGGATTTATTCAGTGTATATACGTTTTGACGATTGGGTCAATCCATGTACATCTTCTGAGTGATTCAGTCCATGTATTATGTGTGTGCATTTGATAGGTCCAGTTCATTCTCTATGGATGTCTTACTGAGTGGTTCCACCCAAACTTCATGGTGTCCCCTCGCAATCATATTGATATAATATTCCTCAAAATGCATAAAACCAAACTCACTCAACCTATGGTTTGTTGTATGGTTCAATCCGTGTAGGTCTAGCGAGGTGTTCAGTTCATCTATGTTGGTTAAACCTTTCATTCTAATCGTCCATTTTTGTTTAATCCGTTTCCATGCGATGGAGTGCATGTTGTTGATCCACGAATGTTAAACTGCGTTTCAATAGTTAAGTAGTCTGTATGTTCACATCTCCGGGTATGTAATGAATTATATTCTCAATCACACGACATAGACCACGGCAGGGTGTATCAAAACAAACATTCAAAACATGAAATACAGTAAAGCAACTCCAGGGTACTGTAAAATCTGTTCGCTTTATCGACAGTTCGTAACTCGCGAAACCGGGTCCGCCATTTTTACCATCCCTCTATTCACATACACGCACATATCATTGACTGCATGCAGTGCGAGGACACTGTATGCAAAAGTGACCGACAAATAGCAGCTATTTTAACATCAAGACGAGTGTCGAGACATCTAAATGGCAAACTGATTTCGTGGTTAGCAGGATGAATACAGATAGAACGTTAACAACATTTGTCACATGACCCTAAGAGGCTCCTCGCGTCCGCGATTTGAAATTCTTCATTGATGTTGGGAGTTTATTCCTGTGTTCTTACATGCTGATTGTTAAAATTTTAGATCTCTTCTCATCCTTCAAAGCTGACAAAGTTAAAAATCTAAACAGGAATGGCTCTTTTCATAGCTATGCTAATTTGATTTTCGTCTCTTGATTTTCTTTTCCATTCAAAAGATAACTTTTATATCCTGTGTCTTAAGAACACTACTTTCCGAACGAGCAGTCTGTTGTCTGTTAACGACATCCAGCCAACAGTCCGGCCTTGGGTGTGTTTTTATGACTGCCGATATTTTAAACCGAGAATTGAATTATGAATAATGAAATTAGAGAACATTATGACAGCGTTTTATCAGTGGTAATTTTCTCTAAACTGATAAAAGCAGCGGTAACTTGATTCGACCGTTGCTATCTCCTCTTTCTAGCGGAATGACACGCTTGAACAAGTGAGTAAATCGGTTGTCTAATCACTCTACTATCGGCGTAGTGTTACACAGAGATGATCACCCGCGGATTAGCTGATAGGAGATGAAACACTTACGTCACAGGGAGATATTGTGCAGCGATGGTAATACGATATGGCTGTATAACGTTCGGGATGAGCTCATACAGGACCAAAGGAGGTCTAAATATAACTTGTGTGTCCCCGCGGTGGGTGGACTGATGTTGAATATTATTATCGTTGCTTCAATAGTAATAATAATTATTCTTTAACAATAAATATATAATAATCACGATATTAACTTGAATGATAATGGTAACAGCATGTAACAATACCAAACAATATCGTTTGTATTATATTTGTCGTTTCAAATAGCTCAAATAATTATTTTTGTTTGTTTTTTGTTTTCAATAACTAGAATAACATAAAATATGATAGATACAGTTTTTTGTATCATTTGTTGTTTTGAATGTCTAGATTAATAATGAAAATAACAATGGTAGTAATTACAGTAATAATTATAATAATAACTATTTACATTAAAAAATGTTTAAAAATCCATTTCAACACAAATGTTTATTATAATGTTGAAAACTCATATTTGGTGATGATAGTACCATCACCAAACTGTTATTAATATTCTTTTCATTCTTGATCATCTAGCACAGAATGGACACATCCCACTGATGACATGCTCATCTTGTCAGCTTGTCAATAGATTAACTTCTTTTGACCATGCCCACAAGGCCTGTTTGAATCCCAGACCAGAAATAACAATAACACCAGCTTCCAGTCCATGCACACATGATCAGTCCATGGTGTAGTGGATAGAGCGACTGCCAGCCCAGGGAGTGGAAGGTCTGGGTTCAGGTCCATGGCTGTGTCAGACCAAATATTGAAAATGGTTCTTGTTTTTAATCTGCTTGCTACTCAACAGAAGGGATGAAACATTGACTGGCATCAAGTCCCTGTACTGTGTTTGAGTGGAGTATTTGCGTTAAACTGCCGCAAGTGGTCTCGATGGGCTATCACTATAATACTGACAGAAGTACTGTAGTTTTGTATGTTTGTTGTTTAATGCAGCACTCAGCACTATTCCACCTATATGATGGCAGTCTGTACATAATCGAGTCAGGACAAGACAATCCAGTGATTGAGATCAATAGCATCAATCTACATAAATTGGATATGACCACCTGATCCCGTTAGTCATATGACAAGTATGGGTCACTGAAGACTAAGTCTCACCCATATCTTCAAGATTTAGTTAAGACAGTACCAGCAGACACACATACACATCATTATGTAAATACAATAATATTTTAACGTGACGTTAAACCCCATTTCACCTCACGTCGGATCACAGACAACCCCCACAGTTATCCTACATCATTATCTACCAGCATCTCCAGGGCATGCAGCACCGGAATGGTTCCACATGTGTGATGGTATTGTCAAACATGTCCTGAGTAATGTCATATAACAACTTGACTGCATGTGCTCTGGAGAAACACAAGGGGGATGACATGTTCTGTTCATTCAAGCCACTGGGGAATTCTGGGTAGATTGTGTCCCCTGTAACCTATGGTTTTCACGGTAGATGACTAAATGGAATCGACTACATGGATCAGTGGTTGCATTTGTATGTCAACATAGTAATTAGAACTAAATGAATAATTATCGTTACTAATGTAGAAGTACTTAATAATTTATGTTTCTTTTGATGATCAGATTCAGACTTAAGCCCTTCTCAGAGATATGGCCTCGATAGTCACAAAGTAGGAAACGCTTTTATTGAATAATTTATTTTCATTAAACCATTTTCATTTAATTCTTGACCCAATGTAGATGCTTAGTGGACAGTGTCTAGCAGTGACCCATTCTAACTGGTCAGGTCATCATTGGACACATTGCAGTCTGACATTGTTCCGATAATCCATTAATCCAAGGATGCAGTTTGGGGTTAAATAAAATGATTAGATTTCATGTTAATCCTTTCCGTAATTTCATAATTTGTTTTTAAAAACTGTACCAGGCAGATATGGACAGTTGCAGTACATACATTAGATTCACATGAAGGATGTTGTCTGTTAGGGGACATAGTGTCTCTGTGTCTTATCAAGCATTGGGGAGGGAAGAAGCTGTGACTTGGGATTGATGTGGTGGAGACGCCATCAACCAAGTCACTGAGGTTTTCCAGGCGTCAGTTTGCCTGACAACTAGTCTGTCATACAGACCCTGTAACAAATATATCCCATGTAGCCCTTGCAAGTCTGTAATATATGGAAAGTCTGGATTACTAAAGTTTGTGGAAATTGAAGAATGTCTCTGGGTTCCTGTTTATTATATTTTATGAATTTCATTTAGGAACTGTCTTTTCTGTCAAATATGTTCATTTCAGAGACGAGATGTTAGTCTGCCTCACGATAAGCATAATTTTCTTGGGACTGATTTGAACCCAGAACCCTTATGAGTTATCAGTTTTGTTCCACTAGACATGGGGAGCCTGAGACATAGTCCAAGGATTTATCTAGGGGCTGACATGTAGATCATCAACTTTATATTTAAATATAGTATCTGTCAGTACAGTGAGGACCTACAGACAGACTTGCTCCACCCCAGGTGCTAACAGGGAATTATCTATGGGTCACATGAAAATCATCTAAAATCAATTAGAATGGACTATTCTTATGATACGAAGGCTTGAAGTCACCTGTTCATTATTTAACCCAAATCTACACATTTTAGTTAAACTACTATTAAATAAATTAGAAGATAGCACATGTGTCGGGACATGACAATTGTTGAGCTATGCTAGTATATGATAGTATGTGGTTACAGCCCTGTCACATATTCAAGATAGATGAACACTGACTCCAAAATACTCTAACTTTTCTCCAGCTGACAAATTGTATTCAAGAACTGCCACATGGACTGTATAGTTCCATTGAAAATGTGTTTGGTCGATTTGGTTTAATGAGCCCCCTGCTTGGACTCTGAAATGATTCACTGAACACTGGCCTTCAATGCAAACATATTGGCCTATCCAGTGTATAGTGTCCATAGAGCTGGCTTTACACCCAACAAGCTTTAATCTCTTTGTGCCTATATTTCAGGGATAAGTACAACCTGCTCTATCTTATTGTGGGCCTTTGACTTCATTATAGTGGCAAAGGTTAAGCAAGTTCAGGCTAATAACATATAATACGTTTGTAAACTGTCAATAATGTTGTTCCCCCATTCTTCCACAGGGTCCCCCACAGCCAGGGCAACCTTTCAAGTTCACGGTGTCGGAGTCATGTGATCGTGTTAAGGAGGAATTCAGCTTTTTGCAAGCCCAGTACCACAGGTAAGGACAAGCTTGGTCACTGTCTGACAGCCACAGTGATCATCTCAAGTACGTCGTGGCCACCATTAAAAAGTTGATCATTGAGTGCCCCTGTGTCTTCAAAGAATTGCATTTGAAACTTTGGTGTGATTAATGTAAAAGAATCATTTTCTTACACAATTTGAGTTCGGGTATTGAAAGCGATCATTCATTTGTGTGTTTATTTATCAGAAATGAGAAGCTGGTTTCTATTTTAATTATATTTTAAAAAAAATTAAATTATTTTTTAAAGGTAAAATTTGATTGTAGAATGTATGAACCATGACATCCACTGTGGTGACCCTGGTTAGAATAGTATGCCTGTCATGAAAAGCAACATCAGTAAATAAATCAAGTGCTCATGCTATCAACCTCTGGTTTCCCAAGTTTCAGGATTGATTATTTACAGGCTTCTGTGAGGAATAATTTTGCCAAGGCATTAAACAACAAAGAATTATAATTACTTTAGAAGTAAGATTAACCTTCATCAACGAGCATGTACTTCATCATGTTTGTAATCATGCAAAAACTATTGCCTCATTTCCAAATATTGACTCCTATTGAAAGTCATATCAAACAGATCTGGTACATTAGCCAATGTGAATCTGCTACCATCAAGCATTGGAACAAATGAATGAAGTAAAATTGCAATGATGAACAAACTGCCCCTTAAACACAGATTCCAGCATTCAACACGTTTCATGTCTTTGAAATGTACATAAATGAGAACATCAAATAACTAACTCCACAGAAAGATTCCACTCGAGGAAAAACCTCGACAGAGCCCACAGAGCAGAACATGTTTATTCTTTTGAAGCACTTGTCAGCTTCAGCATTGAACTCACTTCTTATAGCTAAAGGCCATTATTATCAGGTTTGGCCTGTCGAGTTACAACTGGTCAATTCAGTGAAGCAGACTTTACAACAACCCCACGGCTGTGAACGCCATGATGCTAGTCAGGTCGTAATTACTAGTATTCAGTTCAGACAGGTTGCAGAGCTTGGCTATGTTGTGTGGACGTTCAGGAACACTTACAGTCTCCACAGCAGCACCATCAGTCAGGGATAATTGTGGTCTGCCATAAGTAACAGTAAATCTTATCCACATGCGACTCCCAGTCTAGGAAACAGAGAAGAGTCAATCAGTGTAGCAGTGCATCATGATCTGGTCATCCAGGAGGGTTGATCATGCATGATCGGTCCAATGATTTGGAATTGGATGTGGTGTACGGGTCAAATGTCGTGTCAATTTCACTGTTGTGTCCAACCTACCGCCCATTGGTGTAAATCATGGAATTAGGTTCATGACTAATAAATCAATGATGAAGTCACTAAGGGACTTAAAGATGTATCATGGGTAAAAGCAAAGGGCGTGTTTGGTTGTGAGTTTCCTAAATAGGGCTTGGGTTGGCAGCACTCAGTAATTTCGTGTAATCGACTACATTTTTCTTGTTTGTCTGGGAATAAAAAGGTTCATTATTGATTGATGCTGAATTAAATTGTTTGTGTTGCTTTGGTGAATTTGTTATTCTCTCTGTGAATTAAAGTGTCATCTTGATAAGAGGTGAAATGACAGTTTTAACTATTTTGGTACATGTGTAAAATTAATTTGAAAATTGTAGTTGAATAAAGAGAAGTAACTATTTTTATCAATGATTCTAGTTTCCAATTATTTTACAAGGAAATCACTAATGAATACAGAACTCTAATATCTCTGGACATTCATCGGTTGTAATTGATCAGGTCTCTTACTATTGTAAGTGTTTTGAGGTAATATCATCAAATTTGTTTTATAATGAGAGATACATATTGAGCCTTCACTTGAGAAGGTCTTGTCTCTATGAGGTGACCATTTTAAAAATTGGATGATATTTTACTATTACATCTCTGAGTTTGGTTGCATTCCATCAGTGTTCAGTCATGTTGTCCACTGATGAACTGGTATGCTACATTCCATGGATTCCAGATAAAGTTTCTAAGTCATAGTTTAAATATATTTACAGATCCTCTTGTTAATTGTATAAATTTGACATCTTTTGGAATGTGAGTGAGTGACTTAATATTTTACGTCACACAGGCAATATTTCAGCCATATCGCGGAGACTTTTGGAATGTGAATGATTTTCGAAACTATTATCGTCCATAGTTCATGTTATTATAATTGAATGATATAATTGAATGCGCCTTGAGCAAGCACTAGTTGCCTGGATATGTGCACTATATAAATATCCTATAATAATATAATAATATTCATTTTCTTTTTCTACACTTTGCATTACAACCACTTGTGTGCAAAAAGACATTACATGTTGATGTGTTTAGTAATGGAACCTATCGGGATGTAATGGTGAATGTATTTGATAGATAACATCAAGGGGTGCGGACATGCTATGTGGTTAAAGCGCTAGGTCACACCAAAGATCTATGTTTGGTAGCCCTCATTTGTAGACAATGTGGGAAGCCAATTCTTGCTCCCCTTTAAGATATTCCTTGAATGCTGCTAAGAGCAGCTTAAAGGTAACCATGCTCACTTAAATACTGTGTTTGTCTTCGCTCAACAGTCCAAACATGCTGCTTCACATACTCAAAGCCATTTGCATGAGCAGTAGACCTAAATGTTCTGGCAGTAGAAATGTGAGTTTGAATGATAATTGCTTATGAATATTAGAAATATTGTTTCATAATTATGTATTTATATTAAACTTTGAAACTTAGCATCCTAATTTTGCATTTTGGTCTCAATTCCACCAAAGGTCAAGGTCACCAGGGTGACAGAATTAAAAATTTATTTCAAGTTGTCTGATTACAAGACACTATCTGACAGTTCACATATAAGACTGTTTTCTACAAATTGAGATGGATTATTTTATAAATTATTCATTATCATCTATTTTATGTTTCACTCATACATAATCTAATGGCATGCTTAATGTTAAGGGTTAAAGGTCAAGGTCAGCACTGTTGAATAATGAGTGGTGTTGCATTAAGATGAAATGGTAGATAGAGCTATTTATTGTGTTGATATCATTCGTACAGTGTTTGAATATTCAATATGATGTATAAACTGTGGAAACTGTTACAGTTCAAATCCTCTGGTTCTGGATGATATGTAATCCTGAAATAACTTATAAAAACACTGAAATTCTAATTCAAATTGATGTGTTGAAGACACCATATGGTGACCTGGATTCATAGGTCTGTCCATTCTCATGGCGCCAGTGGTGCATCTGAGCATGCAGTTCCTCATGATTACAACTGTAACACTGCAGTAATCAAATGATTCTGTGGCCTTGTGGAATACAGGCATTGACTATATATCACAGCTGCGGCATGGCATTAACACTGTAACTGACTAGTAGGATAACATTTTTCAGAAGTTGAGCAACTGGTAAATATATTCATGTACAAATAAAAGATGGTTATTTGCAGAATAATTTTCGTTATCGTTTACAGTCCTCAGTGAATAGTCCAGTTGAATGGCTCTTATTAAGCATATTGGCTATATTACTTCCTTTGGTGCTGTCGGTGATGTTAGTTAATATTGGTGTATAGATGGGTACCCAGTGGGATGTTCATACAAATATAGGAACGTGTGATTTTGATATTGCACAGAAGCCAGTCACCACAGGAATCACCTTAGGGAGATGAAAGAGGTATTCGCAATGATGTTGTGTAAACATTGGACATAATTTCCTTTTGATAGTAGTCTTGTGAAGTATTTAAAAAATACACAGAGGAATTCATGAAATAAACATTGATAGAATACACCCAAATAGAAACTAATTGAAAGTGTTGTGGGTTTATTCGGCATAATATGATGGGTTGGTATATCAGTCATTTGAAATGTACCCCGTTGTGACTCAGCTTAGAATTTGTCCCAACTCTCTATTAATTGTCAGGAAGAGTCACAGACATGAATTTTGAAGTATTGTACGAGAGATGGTGTATTGTACAAGAGTTGTTGTACTGTACAAGAGTTGATGTATTGTAGGAGTGAGTGAGTTTAGTTTTATGCCGCACTCAGCAATATTCCAGCTATATGGCAGCGTTCTGTAAATAATCGAGTCTGGTCCAGACAATCCAGTGATCAACAGCATGAGCATCGATTGTATTGTAGGAGAGATGGTGTATTGTACTAGAGTTGATGTATTGTACCAGAGTTGATGTATTGTACCAGAGTTGATGTATTGTACCAGAGTTGATGTATTCCTTCATGTTTCAGCCTGAAGCTGGAGTGTGAGAAGTTGGCTCAGGAGAAGACAGAGATGCAGAGACATTATGTAATGGTAAGCTGACATTCACACAAACCAAGTATATCCGTGCAGAGTTACATCCCTAAATTGTCCCAGGATCTGCAATGTGAAACCCTATGTTATATAAAACCCTGTGTTATATGAAACCCTTTCATGTAAAGCCCTGTGTCATGTGAACCCCTATGTCATGTAAAACCCATGTCATATGAAACATTGTGTCATGTAAAAACCTGTGTTTTGTGAAACCCTGTGTTATGTGAACCCCCATGTCAAATGGAGCCTCTGATGATGTCATATGAAGCCCTGTGTCATATGAAGCCCTATGTCATATGAAGCCCTGTGTCATATGAAGCCCTGTGTCATATGAAGCCCTGTGCACAGGGGCTTGTAATGCTAAAAACTGCCATCAAGGTATGTACTGTCACTAATGGGGTCTTAGCAATATATAAAAGGATTCTTTTATATAGTGCTGAGACCCTGTTAGTGACAGTACAAACCTTGATGACAGTTTTTAGCGTTACAAGCCCCTGTGGCCCTGTGTAACCAGGTAAAGGTGGTTACTCTGAATTACAAATTGACAGTTAACTTAACAATACAGCATTGATCAGGGTTTTGTTTCACAGAATGTTCTTAGCACTAAGACCATCCAACTCCAGTATTTTAACATAGACTTCTTACTGTCAAAGCACTAAGATCTTAGTTTGACATAGTACCCAGTTTCCTATGAAGAATTAACAGTATACTGTGGCCTAAGAATCCTGTTGGCATGTCTATACATGTTTCCAGGAGTTTTTTAAATTAGTTACATTTGAGAAAAGCTGTCAGATATTTTTATATGATTATCACATACACATGTATGTTGCTCAAGGTCAGATTTCTGAACTGAATATATGGCAGATTGTCATTACCTTGCAAGAGTGGCAGCTTGAAAGAAATCATTTGTTACATAAATATCCTACAAGACACAAAAGAGACTTATATCATATTCAGTTAAATTATATCTGTATCTTAGGACCAGAAATTTGCATTTAAAGTACACATTATTTTGCAAAATGTTGACAAAAAACTTCCCATTATTTTCTGTTTGTCTAGTGATATGAACATGATGCCATTTCATAAATGTTATTTATGTCTTGTCAGATTGGCAGTTTGACATGTTATAATGACAGATTTTTGTGTCATAAAACTTTAATAAGATCACATTTTTCTGAAGGAAATGAGTGCATTTGTGGTTATTATGTTTTGTAAAAGGAATTATGTAATGAGGATGTATATATTTAAAAAAGTGTTGTCTGGGTTATGCAACACTTACCAGATTGGAAGACAGTGAAGTTAAGTATTTACTCCCAAATCCATATTTATTTCTGGAAAGTAACATTTTTTTGTCAATATCACTTAGTACATCAAACAGTGTGTTCAGTGGATCTGATGTAATCAGTCTTTGTTCCAGTAGCCTCTACTGATGCTCTGATGAATTTTTAGCAGCCATTATAGAGTGTACATATAAATGTTATTGGATATCAAATTTCTATTCAAAATGTCAGCAGTATGTTCCTTTGATGTGTTAATAATTACACAAAAACATTCATAATCAATCATGTCAATATGCAACCATATTTATTTTCATTTATGGAACAGCATTCTTTAAATTTCAAATAAATAAAGGGTTCTTTGACATACTATTTCTGGATTACAGAAAAAATACTGATTATGATCGATTACTGCCTGGGTTCACAAGCTGGTTCTGGCCAATGATTGATGATATAATCCCAACATATTTCTGAAACCACTAGCAGTACTAATGTACTTCTACATTAATACGGGTTATCACATATTCATGACTGTTTTGTCAAAGTTCAGAGTCATGAATTTCATAAAACTGCTTTGGATATTTGAAAAAGCAGTAGTTACAATAGAAGCGCATGCTTTACTGAATACAATCACTTGGACCTAGCTTCTTATCCATTACTTTACATCTCACTTACTTTACGTGTCACTTACATGATTGGCCCCCTCCGTATCCCCTTGGCACTTTGTACAACCCCCAATCAGGAATATCAATCCCCTCCCCATATCCATCTTCAGCCATGATTACAATGTGGGACACGTCTGTTCTTACAATCAGTGAGAATAGTATCTCAAGAGCTAAATGAATAATTTAGGAACTCTGCCTTGTTTTGGATCTAGCAACTTGCATATGAGCCGAGATAATTTCGTCCAAGAGGCCCCTTATCTTGCGTCTAGATAGATTTCCTCTTCCCTTCCTTCCTGGTTTTGTCTAATCTGTAGATGGCGAGCGCTCATACCCTGGCTGTCGATATCGGCAACACAGAGGGCCCGAGTTTCTCCTTAATTTTCTGATTACAGCCAAGGCTAGTCTTGGATGCATTAAACAGAGCTGTCCATATTGATTTTTACTTGTCGCTTTCATCTTTCTCCTTCCCTGCTCAACCCAATCATGTCAGCCCAATAATTATATCGGGCCGTGCATATTGGCTTCCAAAATGGAATTAATTTGTTCTTAACACGAAATGTCGCCTGCCTGGGGCTGTGGAGAGGGTTTGTCTTCAGCTGGGTTCGAACCCAGATAAGACCTCCTTCTCATCTGTTTGAATTGAGGGAATTACAATTGGTTGTAAGGAGACAGCTACGAGATAATAGTGTTTACATTTTTATGTAAGGTGATTACCAATGTAAGCTATGCAATTGTCCACTGCCAATGTCAATCTTCAAAGAACACATATTTGAACACATAAACAATAACAGATTCACCCATACTTGATGTTAGAATTGTGGTGTGCCTTAAATAGTATAACCAAACATTTAATTTTTTGTAGATTTTTAACATTTTAATGTGGAAATAAAATTTTTAAGTGGATACAGATCTGACATTATTTGACCTTTGGATGAGTTTCATGTCTTTGTAATCTGATTCTAATTGTGGTCTTCATGTCATTGTTAATTATCCCAAGACGTTCTGGTTAAGAATTAGTGTTCAGCGAACCATGGTTGTGTTGACAATATATATCATCTGTTGACAAAAGTAATATGTTAAAATATACATCATCAATACACAAATGTACAATGTTGGCAGCATGCATCATCGTAATGTGTTGACAATATGACATCTGCAACTAAGGTTATATGTTGACAATATGTTGTGATAAATAGGTAAATGTTAGCAATAAATGTCATCTGCAGACAAATGGACATTGTTATCCCCCGCAACGGGTATTGCGGGGGGTATTAAAATGGACTCCGTCCGTGCGTGCATCCGTCCGTGCACATTTGTCTTTTCCGGAGCAGAACTCTAAAACCGTTCAATATTTCTTCACCAAACTTGGCACATAGATAGATCTGGTGGTGTACTTGTGCCTTTTGGTAGTTTTGGAATTCTGAATAAAATATTTTTGGCGTTTCCATGGCAACAAGTTTGACTTAGCCTGAAATTGGTGGTTGTGCTCTTTTCCAGAGCAGAACTCTAAAACGGTTCAAAATTTCTTCACCAAACTTGGCACATAGATTGGTCTGGTGGTGTACTGGTGCCTTTGGTAGTTTTGGAATTCTGAATAAAACATTTTTGGCATTTCCATGGCAACAAATTCGACTTCGACTGAAATTAGTGGTAGTGCTCTTTTCCAGAGCAGACCTCTAAAACCGTTCACTATTTCTTCACCAAACTTGGCACATAGATTGGTCTGGTGGTGTACTGGTGCCTTTTGGTAGTTTGGTATATTTTATCTCAGTTAATTCTGGACATGAAATAATGTCAGATGTTTACATGTGGAGGAATGCACAGAATGATGCAGATCCTAGATTTTTAGCAGTTTCATGGGACTGCCAGAGATGTGTATGGTGCTGAGAAGCCACTGTTTAATATTGGATTAAAACCACAACTATCCGCATCCTGGCAGTTAAGGGACACAACTCTGTCCTGCAAGTTGTAGCAAGTTAAGCTGTAAGGGATAATTCATTCACCCTGCAAATGTTTCTGAGTTGGAAAAATATATGCTAGGTACATGATTCCCCTGCCAGCGTGTCAAATAGATAATAATCTAGATTACATTTTCTGGAAGGAAGCAATAACCTCAGTATATTTAACAACAGAACAAATTACAGAATTTCACCTCCAATGAAAATGTTCATTTTTATTAATTTCAAGACTAATTCTGTTCCTTTTCTTTCAGTACTATGAGATGTCCTATGGGCTCAATGTTGAAATGCACAAACAGGTATGTGTGTCTCATGTGTACCTATGTATTTAATATTAATGAATTCACTGGCAAATGCACAATCAGTTGTCAAAATATGTGGCTGATTGTACAGCATTGTTACCTGAAAATGTGGTAAATTTCTAATTCCATCGACTTACTGTTTGTCTGGATCAAATGGCATAGGGATAAGTTCATGCATGTCACCGGACTGACCTGCTTCGATGGAGTTTGTTGATGTCAGTCACTGGATTGTCTGGTCCAGACTCAATATCTTGCAGACCGCAACCATATAGCTAGAATATTGTTGAGTGCAATATTAACAACAAACAAAGTGGGTCAGATATAATTATTGAAAGGCATTTATGAATATTGCATAATGCAGAAAAAAACGACTTTCACTCATTCTTGATATTAATATAAACATAATGTTGTTTCAATATGTTTCTTGTAAAAGAAATGTAAACTTTAAAAGCAACTTGCTTTGTCAACATTCATTTTACAATATTTGTCACGAAGAGGGCATTTATGTGTTTTGCCTTTAAAAAGCATGAAAACTTAAATCCCAACCTCACATTCAGCAGAAATGATGTTTGTTTATGGTGAACCAATAAAACTGAACCTAAATTCTTTCCTGAATAGTTTTATTCTCACATGACAGTCAGAGTGTTTTTTATGGTTCCTTCATTACAATCAGTATTAGCTGAAAGATCGAGCGCTAAGTCATGATAATAGACGGAGCAGGAGAACGTCCCGAGATCAATGGCAACAAAGAGCTTGTACATGTATGACCAGGGACACTTGTAAAACTTTCAACTATTTCTTGTTGGTATTGTTAATATTTGCCATCAGCTTAATATATCACCTTTATCAGGCGCTATGTAAATCAAAGCCTAGGGCCTCCGGCGCTGTGTGAAACAGGGAATTCATTTTATATGACTTCTTCAAATTCAAACACGAACCAATTGTACACGCAAAATTTGGTGAAGGCACGTTGCGTCTTGCTTATACACAGAGGTAAACTTTCCGGACATACAACAAACAGAATATAGTGAAAACAGAAAATGTGAGGAAGAGGCAGTTAACATCCAAACTGGCGGCTTAGTTAATATTTGATCAGTTATGTAAACAGTTGTACACTTCGCCTATTAGCGATGCTACCATTATGAGTCGCAGGAATGATTTATGTGGAGTTGCAGTGATATTGACATGCTGGAAGCATGTGACGGGTTCGATGGCCGGGGGGACTCTGTCACTTTGATGCTCATGTCCCCCAAACACAATACTGTTAATACCGTTACTAGCGTCATTTTACGTTTACCCTGAAGACAAGAAAATATTTTGAATTTAGTATCTTTTTCTGGCTGATTAACTGGAAAAAATAAGAATTTTCTTAAAAAATATACAAAGCTGCTTTGTAACTGACAAGTGGTATTACTTCATGAAACGTCTTGTTTGTAGAAGAGTAGAGCAAGTCATGAACAGATTACATGTTGTTTCAGTGGGAGTGGGTGTCATGTTTGTAGATGAGTAGAGCAAGTCATGAACAGATTACATGTTGTTTCAGTGGGAGTGGATGTCATGTTTGTAGATGAATAGAGCAAGTCATGAACAGATTACATGTTGTTTCAGTGGGAGTGGATGTGATGTTTGTAGATGAGTAGAGCAAGTCATGAACAGATTACATGTTGTTTCAGTGGGAGCGGATGTCATGTTTGTAGATGAATAGAGCAAGTCATGAACAGATGACATGTTGTTTCAGTGGGAGTGGATGTCATGTTTGTAGATGAGTAGAGCAAGTCATGAACAGATTACATGTTGTTTCAGTGGGAGTGGGTGTCATGTTTGTAGATGAGTAGAGCAAGTCATGAACAGATTACATGTTGTTTCAGTGGGAGTGGATGTCATGTTTGTAGATGAGTAGAGCAAGTCATGAACAGATTACATGTTGTTTCAGTGGGAGTGGATGTCATGTTTGTAGATGAGTAGAGCAAGTCATGAACAGATTACATGTTGTTTCAGTGGGAGTGGATGTCATGTTTGTAGATGAGTAGAGCAAGTCATGAACAGATTACATGTTGTTTCAGTGGGAGTGGATGTATGTTTGTAGATGAGTAGAGCAAGTCATGAACAGATTACATGTTGTTTCAGTGGGAGTGGATGTCATGTTTGTAGATGAACAGAGCAAGTCATGAACAGATTACATGTTATTTCAGTGGGAGCGGATGTCATGTTTGTAGATGAGTAGAGCAAGTCATGAACAGATTACATGTTGTTTCAGTGGGAGTGGATGTCACGTTTGTAGATGAGTAGAGCAAGTCATGAACAGATTACATGTTGTTTTAGTGGGAGTGGGTGTCATGTTTGTAGATGAGTAGAGCAAGTCATGAACAGATTACATGTTGTTTCAGTGGGAGTGGATGTCATGTTTGTAGATGAGTAGAGCAAGTCATGAACAGATTACATGTTGTTTCAGTGGGAGTGGATGTGATGTTTGTAGATGAGTAGAGCAAGTCATGAACAGATTACATGTTGTTTCAGTGGGGAGTGGATGTCATGTTTGTAGATGAGTAGAGCAAGTCATGAACAGATTACATGTTGTTTCAGTGGGAGGGATGTGATGTTTGTAGATGAGTAGAGCACGTCATGAACAGATTACATGTTGTAGAGTGGGAGTGGATGTCATGTTTGTAGATGAGTAGAGCAAGTCATGAACAGATTACATGTTGTTTCAGTGGGAGTGGATGTGATGTTTGTAGATGAGTAGAGCAAGTCATGAACAGATTACATGTTGTTTCAGTGGGAGTGGATGTCATGTTTGTAGATGAGTAGAGCAAGTCATGAACAGATTACATGTTGTTTCAGTGGGAGCGGATGTCATGTTTGTAGATGAGTAGAGCAAGTCATGAACAGACTTTTTGTACATGATTGGTACAAATAATAGTAAGCACCTTCCCCCAAACATGTACACAACTATACATATGTTGCTGCAATAACAATTCACCAAGTGTTCCGTTCTACTGGGAAACCAGCTTTCACCGAACTTTGATTAATGGGTACATTTCGTTGGTATGATCGATGAAAACCTGGTATTATCTGTTGGTATGTGGATATGACCAAAAGGGGTATCATCTGTGTATAATCTGTAGTATCATCTGTGTATGATCTGTAGTATCATCTGTGTATGATCTGTAGTATCATCTGTATGATCTGTAGTATCATCTGTGTATAATCTGTAGTATCATCTGTGTATGATCTGTAGTATCTGTGTGATCTGTAGTATCATGTGTATGATCTGTAGTATCATCTGTGTGATCTGTAGTATCATCTGTGATCTGTATCATCTGTGTATGATCTGTAGTATCTGTGTATGATCTGTAGTATCATCTGTATGATCTGTAGTATCATCTGTGTGTATGATCTGTAGTATCATCTGTGTATGATCTGTAGTATCATCTGTGTATGATCTGTAGTATCTGTATGATCTGTAGTATCATCTGTGTGTATGATCTGTAGTATCATCTGTGTGTATGATCTGTAGTGTAGTATCATCTGTGTGTATGATCTGTATAGTATGATCTGTAGTATCATCTGTGTATGATCTGTAGTATCATCATGTGTATGATCTGTAGTATCATGTGTATGATCTGTAGTATCATCTGTGTATGATCTGTAGTATCATCTGTGTATGATCTGTAGTATCATCTGTGTATGATCTGTAGTATCATCTGTGTGTATGATCTGTAGTATCATCTGTAGTATCTGTGTATGATCTGTAGTATCATCTGTGTATGATCTGTAGTATCATCTGTGTATGATGTGTATGATCTGTCTGTGTGTATGATCTGTAGTATCATCTGTGTGTGATCTGTAGTATGATCTGTGTGTATGATCTGTAGTATCATCTGTATGATCTGTAGTATCTGTGATCTGTAGTATCATCTGTGTGTATGATCTGTAGTATCATCTGATCTGTGTATGATCTGGATCTGTAGTATCATATGATCTGTGTATGATCTGTAGTATCATCTGTGTGTATGATCTGTAGTATCATCTGTGTGTATGATCTGTAGTATCATCTGTGTGTATGATCTGTAGTATCATCTGTGTGTATGATCTGTAGTATCATCTGTGTGTATGATCTGTAGTATCATCTGTATAATCTGTAGTATATACAGATTGTGTATGCCTTAGATAACTGGTTTAACTGTGCCACCTAGGTAGTGAACATCTCAGTATTCAGAAAAAAAAGAAAAAACAATTCTCTGTCAGCATTGTTAAACTTCTTGCATCAGCAAAGCTACAGTTTCAGAAAAAATAACCCGCATGACAAAAAAAGTACTTCAACAATATTTCCTAGCTCATCATATATCACTATGACAGTAATTTTGCCTTCTCAAAGAATCCTGTCATTTTCCAAGAGTTGTTTTTGATGTGCCAGCCTCTCATTTGTACCTGCCAATGTTAAATTTGCCCAGACCACACAATCAATATGTGAGATTATTTGCTGAGCTTTATATAAATATCATCAAACACACCTTGTAAATCTGGCCAGAGTTCCAGATCTGGCTTACCCTGTGAATTGCAGCAGCTGAAAATGTACACACATTTAGTCTTGATATGGGTACAGCGTGGTGGGCAGGCGAACAGACATCTGCATCCTACTGAGAACTAGACTACAGTAAAGACACATCTATCTGGTTTAAATAGCTGTATCAGTGTAATGTTACAAAGAGCCGTGTCTGCTGAGCTGAAAGGAAGCGATATAATTGACGTTAGAACGACACATGTTCAATTTTTGTGCTTTAAACAAACATTCAGGTTATGTTTGAAGTTGATTTTTCTTGGAAATTTTTATTTTACTTTGCTCCTGCTGGGGTCTATTTCAGCAGATGATGGAGGTTGCTCTGCTGTGGCAATGATGGTTGCTGTTTGTATGATGATAGCTTTATCATTGGTAATTTGAAGGTTATGTTATGGACACCAAGTGTCAATAATTTGCAGTGGGTCCATTCATGAAT